CTCATCAAGCCACGCTGAGGCAGCGTCCCACATGCCACAACTAGAAGGACCCACAACGAAGAATATACAACTATGTACCAGGGGGCTTTGGGGAGAAAAAGGAAAAAATAAAAAAAAGAATAAAATCTTTAAAAAAAAAAAAGTTGAAAATTTTACCTCTGAGAGTGGGAATCAGAAGAGAATGCTGAATATCACCACTTCTAATCAAATTGTACTGGACTTTGTATCCAGAAACCTGGTCAAGTTTATTTGTCAATTCCAATAACTTATCTGTAAATTATTTTAGATTTCCTAAATAAGTAATCATGTCATCAGTAAATGACAGTTTTGTTTCTTCTTTTTCAATCCTTATACCTTTTACTTATTTTTCTTTCTTTTGTGCATTGACAAAGATCTCTTGTTACTTTTAGCCCATTCACATTTTTTGAAAAAATTTTTGCTGGACTATTTTAAAGCAAATTGCAGAACTCGTTTTCAGTACAATTAAATTGAAATCCTGGATAAAATGTGATTTCTGTAATGATCCAGGTAGTAAACTTTTTAGGCTTTGCAGACCACACGATCTTTGTCACAAACACTCAACTCTGCCATGTCAGCATGAAAGCATTCATAAGCAATATGTAAAGAGTGGTCATGGCTATGTTTCAATAAAACTGTATTTGCAAAAACAAGTGGCAGCCAGATTTGACCAAGGAGCGTAGTTTGCCAATCCCTGGACTGAACTCTGAAGGAAGATTGAAATGTTGATGTACCCCTGAGTTGGGGCCATAAAAGTGTATTGATGGCCCCACCAGATGAAACTAAACTTCTTGGGTAGGCATTTACTAATAGGTATAGAGAAAAAAAGCACTTGTCAGCTCAAAGGTTGCATGTCAGGTGCCAGAAGATGTGTTGATTTGCTCCAGCAATAAAACCACATCTGGAGCTGCAACTGGTGTCAACTCCTAATTAAATTTACAATAATCCTATGTCATTCTCCAAGATTCACCTGTCTTCTTCTCAGGTCAAAAGAGTGAATTGAATGGAGATATTTCCATTTTCCTGCAACTTTCAAGAGACTGCTGGTAGCACTCATCTCTGCGATCCCTCCAGGGACATGATTTTGTTTTTC